TGCCTAGGCAGGGGGTTGGACTAGAAGACCTCAAAGGTGCCTTCCAACTCTGCTATTGTATTGTATTGAACTCGGAAAAAGCAGCCGGAGGACATCCAAGTGGGCGAGGGTGCATGAGAAAACGCTCGTTGCAGGCAGCGGTTCAACCGGTGGCGCCTTTTTCCTTGGTTCATTTTCCCCCCAGAATTGAACCCGGCTCAGCCCCCCCGGGCCTCACCTTGACTCGCTGCGCCTCGTTGATGGCCGCCTGAAAGGCCCCGATGTAGAAGTTGTTCCTCACGTCGAAAAGCTCGTCGGCCTCGCCGGAACCCGCGGGAGTCGCCATCGCGCCCGCGTCCCTTTCCAGCCGGCCGCAAAGACGACACGTAGTCCCCTTCCTCGCTCTTCCCACGCAAGGCACTGTGGGAAACGCCGATTGGCTGGCTCTCTTTGGCCCCGCCTGGCACGAGGAAGAGAGTGCTCCAGGCGGACCAATCGGAAAGAGAAGAAAAGATGATTGGCGGAAAGCTTCCTGGGAATTGGAGTCGGGCAAGGAGGCCTAACCCTCACCCGGCGCATAGAGATATAAATTAGAGTGATACTCCAACCGGGTTACGGCATTAGCAAGAAGAAAACTTAATGAATCTAGTGGGTTTTGTTCCCCTGACAGCCTTTTAAAAATAAAAATAATAATTATCAGTCTTCTGCATGGAGGAAGTTCATAAGGAAGGTATTTTCGTTTTTTTACTGTCGGCTCCTGAATGGACATTTTCTCATGTTCAAGAATATCCAAGAGATACTTCAAAAATACTAAATTTGACAGTCTTCCTCGCTTAGCGTAGCCTCGTGACTTTTTATAACTTCTGCGCTGGGTTGATAAATGTCCACCAGGCTTCTACGGGAACTTTGCGGGTAGCTCTACTGGTGGTACGTCTACATTTCATGTAGATCTACCTTCCCTCAAATCTACGAGCAGTCTCTTAAACGGTGCCGAGAATCCCTGGGAGTTGTAGTTCCCAACCATCATGGCTTCTGAGAGATGAGCCGGCGCTGCCCAATGACGTCACATTTTCCCTTTGGAAGAAACGCGGTGACGTCATCAGACGCGTCTCCGTCGCGGGGCATCTTGGGATATTTCTCTCTTCTTTCTAGCCCGTCGGCGTGTTTGCAGCCCCGTTTCTCGCCTGGACGATGGCCGGTTTCCGCGCTTTGGGTTTGGACCCCTGGCTGGCGTCTCAGGCGGAGCAGCTGGGCTTGTCGAGGCCCACCCCGGTGCAGGAAGCCTGCATCCCTCCCGCCCTGCAAGGTAAGAGCCAGAGAAAGAGTTAGAACTTGAAAAAAACAAGAAAGAACAAACTGAATATTATATGATATGGGATACTTATATCAGTGTTTCTCAACCTTGGCAACTTGAAGATGTCCGGACTTCAACTCCCAGAATCCCCCAGCCAGCATTCGCTGGCTGGGGCATTCTGGGAGGTGCAGGCCGGGCTTCGTCCAGATGCCCAGG